GGTGACCCCCAGTACAAGCTTTCAAAATCGATGCTAATTACCCCGTTTATAAGGCAAATCGTTTTGAAGCATGTCACCAGCAGACCCAATCCCTACAGTTACAATAAAAACGTGTTTGTCTTCCGCAGAAAAAATTACATCGTATCCCTTCAACGAATTCAGGGAAACGAACAGATCATAACAATTAAACTAGGTCAACGCAAGTTTGAAATTTGAGATAAAACATAAGTGGACATGATCATTTATGGGTTAAATTGTTTTCCCTGTTTTGATAGGCATTGTTTTATATGCCAAGATTAAGATTACCGTGTGTATTTTCTCATATCTAAGCCGGAAGTAGCAATCAGCTTACACAAGTTTCTTAGAATCTACTGGTGATTGGGTTAAAAATTACCCTATAAAATAACTTTTAAAGATTTTGATACCATGATCAGAAGAATTTGTATCTGAAACTGTTATTTTATCAGGAATAATTTATTCCAATTACATGTTATTTTAGTTGCAGCTTTATATTATATATTTGAAATAAATTAATAACCGTAAGCGTAGCACTTTGGTTCAGCTGATCGCTATTGACGGATATTTTTTCGTATGGAATAATTTGACCAAACACTGTTGATGCTCCCACGCTTGCGTTAGAAAACTTTATGTTGACATATAATAGTCAAACTACAACAAATATGACTTTCAGCGGGTCAATGTATGGCATTTATGATATATATATCCATTCTCTATCCACTAAAGTTTGTTTCAAGGCATCAACAGCGGTAATATGACCATTGGTTGCTGTAAATAATGATGAGTTGTGTGATCTTCTGATCACCATGATCACTTCACTTACGATTTCGCCTAAATGAATGTAAACGATATTGAATAAAATTTTGAGTACACAGTGATACACAGTAATCACCATAGCTTCTTATGTTGCAGGCAGCACAGGTGACCTAGTTGTCTAAGGCACTGCAATTTGCTGTGCAGAGTTGCGTCCCTTGGGCACACCAGAAACCTATGATTGTGGGTACGAATCCTGTTTTGCCCTGGTTCGTGCTTATGTGTTTCACCAAAGTGGTGCATTACTTTGGGCCTTCCTCCCACATTAAGCAGACAAGCTGTGATATAGCTGGAATACTGTTAAAAGCGGCGTAAAAACCCATCTCACTCACTCAAAAATAAATGCAGCCTAAGAAAAATACATATGTGCTTGAAAACTTGATTGTTGACTTGGAACCTTTAAGTTTAGTCAAATCACATGTTTGAACTGATTGGTTGCATCATGCAATTGTGGTCAAAACTGGCGCCATTGTCTGCAATGTGAACTCTAAGTTCTCCTGAGAAGGAAGAATATTCACTTGTTCTGTGATAAATGCTGATGGCTTTTCCACATAAATCAACAGTAAACACTTTGTCGAACACAAACAGATGACTTTTTACCTAGTGGCTCGATTTCAAGTTTATTGGCTTCAGAAATCTGGTGGTGTGATCTATAGCATTGCCTGTTCTATGACAGATTGGATGGAGAGACAGAGTTCTTGCACTTAAGCCATGCTCTTCTAGAATTCTATTTTTGAAGTGTTTCGTGGTACATGATGCAATTTAAAAGTTTGTTTCTGGACTTCTTGTGTCTGCATTGTGCTGTCCCTGTGTTTTTTTTCAAGTGGCTCATACTTCTTCCTTTGATTGAATACTGTAAATCTTAAAATTAATGCATCTCCAAATTAATTGACTGCTGACCCCTAGCCAAAAATGTGACTCAAAATCAATTTCGACCAGCGACCCCCCTCAGTGGGGTATCCATGTTAAACTGTGGCATGGTATCTCACTGGGGTATTCGTGTTAAACTGCAGCATGGTATCTCAGTGGGGTATTCATGTTAAACTGCAGCATGGTATCTCAGTGGGGTATTCATGTTAAACTGCAGCATGGTATCTCAGTGGGGTATCCATGTTAAATTGTTACCCTGTCTGGCGCTCGGCATTAAGGGGCTAAATCAAGGACTGGTCAGCTCGGAGTCAGTATACTGTGTCTCAGTGGGGTGTCCATGTTAAACTGCGGCATGGTATCTCCTTTAGGGTGTCCATGTTAAACTGCGGCCTGGTATCTCAGTGGGGTATCCATGTTAAACTGCGGCATGGTATCTCAGTGGGGTGTCCATGTTAAACTGTGGCATGGTATCTCAGTGGGGTATCCATGTTAAACTGCAGTATGGTATCTCTGTGGGGTATCCATGTTAAACTGTGGCATGGTATCTCAGTGGGGTATCCATGTTAAACTGTGGCATGGTATCTCAGTGGGGTGTCCATGTTAAACTGTGGCATGGTATCTCAGTGGGGTATCCATGTTAAACTGCGGCATGGTATCTCAGTGGGGTATCCATGTTAAACTGAGGCATGGTATCTCAGTGGGGTATCCATGTTAAACTGCAGCATGGTATCTCAGTGGCGTATTCGTGTTAAACTGCGGCATGGTATCTCAGTGGGGTATTCATGTTAAACTGCAGCATGGTATCTCAGTGGGGTATTCATGTTAAACTGCAGCATGGTATCTCAGTGGGGTATCCATGTTAAATTGTTACCCTGTCTGGCGCTCGGCATTAAGGGGCTAAATCAAGGACTGGTCAGCTCGGAGTCAGTATACTGTGTCTCAGTGGGGTGTCCATGTTAAACTGCGGCATGGTATCTCCTTTAGGGTGTCCATGTTAAACTGCGGCCTGGTATCTCAGTGGGGTATCCATGTTAAACTGCGGCATGGTATCTCAGTGGGGTGTCCATGTTAAACTGTGGCATGGTATCTCAGTGGGGTATCCATGTTAAACTGCAGTATGGTATCTCTGTGGGGTATCCATGTTAAACTGTGGCATGGTATCTCAGTGGGGTATCCATGTTAAACTGTGGCATGGTATCTCAGTGGGGTGTCCATGTTAAACTGTGGCATGGTATCTCAGTGGGGTATCCATGTTAAACTGCGGCATGGTATCTCAGTGGGGTATCCATGTTAAACTGAGGCATGGTATCTCAGTGGGGTATCCATGTTAAACTGCAGCATGGTATCTCAGTGGCGTATTCGTGTTAAACTGCGGCATGGTATCTCAGTGGGGTATTCATGTTAAACTGCAGCATGGTATCTCAGTGGGGTATTCATGTTAAACTGCAGCATGGTATCTCAGTGGGGTATCCATGTTAAATTGTTACCCTGTCTGGCGCTCGGCATTAAGGGGCTAAATCAAGGACTGGTCAGCTCGGAGTCAGTATACTGTGTCTCAGTGGGGTGTCCACGTTAAACTGAAGCATGGTAACTCATTAGGCTACCATGTAAACCAGCATCAGTATCTTGATACTATGTTCACAGTACTATACATGCTTTACAAGTCAAGATATGTAAGAATAACAGCAAAAAGGGCCCTTACTGTAATACTCAGTGTGTTTCAGATGAGTGAAACCATGACAACAGGCTCCAGCTAGCTCCTATATAGACAGGTTCCTGGCAGTATTTGCGTAGCAGCACCTTTACTATTTGTATATGTTCCACCCAATCTGTGCAACTGCCCTATGCATGCAGTGCATGCAGTGGACAGGGACGTGTATGAGTTTTAAAATCTTATTCACAGAAGTCAAAAGGACAAAGTTATTTTATGAGGATCTATTCACCAAGTTATTTTACAAAGATCTGTTCACTGAATTGTTTTCACACACAGATGCATCAACATTAAATCATAAATTACTATGTATATGGTTTCTTAAATACTGTGAAACCAAAATAAAATACGGCTTGAAAATAATACGTCTGACCAAATGAAGACCTTTTACATTCTCTTTTGATAAAAATGTACTTTCTGTTTGTGATGTTGTTTTTGTTTTGTATCCATGTCCAGGGCTTGTAATAAATGGCATATTTTGTTTTTCAATAATGAATAAACATTAAATAACAAAACTTTGAAATCAGAACTTTTGACATCTTTTTGATGACTCAGCAAGATTTTTTGGTTGTGATATCTCAGGTATGACTGAAATGAACTTGATCCTGAAAATGAAGTGCACATACTTCCTGTGTATTTGTCCCACATTTGGGCTCATTGTGAAGATGCCTTGAAAATATACCCTTGGTGTAAAGTTTTACGTTTCCAAATGACATTTTCTGCAGGTTCTGGAGATGCTTGAGTGTGCCGGGGAGCACTTTTCCCTGCATCCAACATTACATCTTTGCATTGTAAAGAGCAAACTGTGGTATTTTGCATGTGATTCTGATGTTTGAACTTCAGTGAGGTGACTTCACAAAGGAGGTGTACAGTGAGCCCTCACATCACAACCCTCTGCTGGGGGCTAGCAACCCATGCTTGTCACCCTGTGGGGATTCCAGGGCAGAATAGGTCCCTGTACTCCATGCTTGTCTTCTCTGTGGGGATTCAAGGGCAGAATAGGTCCCCTGTACCCCATGCTTGTCTCCCTGTGGGGATTCCAGGGCAGAATAGGTCCTCTGTACCCCATGCTTGTCACCCTGTGGGGATTCGAGGACAGAATTGGTCCCCTCTACCCCATGCTTGTCTCTCTGTAGAGATTCCAGGACAGAACAGGTCCCCTGTACCCCATGCTTGTCACCCTGTAGAGATTCCAGGACAGAGTAGGTCCCCAGTACCCCATGCTTGTCTCCCTGTAGAGATTCCAGGACAGAAAAGGTCCCCTCTACCCCCCCCCCCCCGTGCTTGTCTCTGTAGAGATTCCAGGACAGAGTGATTTCCCAGCAACCCGTGCTGATGGTTTCACCAATATGGTACCAGACGATGGAAATACGTCCAGAGTTATCGCCCTTGCATTACAATTAGACAAGTTCAGAAATCGGCATTTGATAAATGTTCAGTTTTTAGATAAAAATAATCATTTATATTTTCAAAATTGGTTAGAAGTTAGGCATTTTCCCAACAGGGTTTAATAAGTTTATATCTCATCTGACATGGAATAAAATTGCCTATTGAGTAACCAATCAGAAACAAATATCTTAATGCTCACCTTGAGCCAGACTGTTGCCATGGGTAAGTAGTACAGCCAGAATGCCATGATCAGACCAGACTTGCCAATACCCTCTCTTGTCTTATAACACTTGCTGATTGCCATCACTGTCAAACAATTTGCAGTAGACACAGTACTTAGACTTCAGCAAGAAATCTTACAAAATCTGCATTTGAAATATTGCTACATCTCACAAGACACTGAGTAAGCTGGTCAACATAAGGCCTTTCTTTGAAGGTGTCTCAAGCAAAGCCATAATGTGATTGTCATAATCAAGTCTGATGTCCAATCCAGGTAATGTGTGTGTTATTAGGTATCTCACAGACAATTACTGCCAGTCCAGACGTGAAGGGATGAGTGGATGGAGATGACCGATGTCCAGCCTCATGACCGGCCACTAATAGGCTCCACTCAGGAAATGGCTTATTGCCATCACCTGTACCCTTATAGATCTTGACCACATGAATGTCTAGACAATATGCTGGATCTTTAGGCTATGATGAATTAATTATCACCCCTTGGGACGAATTTGGAAGCCTTTTGTCAGCTCAGGTTGGTGATTTCATGACCTTTCAACATTGTTCACGTATGATCTTGTACATGTCATGTAATATTGTATAAAATGAAGAAAAAGTTCCCTGTGTCCTTTGCTCCATTAGTTGAATTTGTTGTGATTTTATGTTTGGAAAGGGGGCACGGGTCTAAGGGACGATTCGCTGTGCAGAGTTGCATCTCTTGGGCACGCCAGAAAACTATGATTGTGGGTTCGAAACCCAGTTGGCCCCGATTATGTTTCTAGGTTTGTCAGCACCATACCCGTGCTCGTGGGTTTCACCGAAGTGGTAAACGTCCGAGACCTGCATCACTTCGGGCTTTCCTCCCACATTAAGCTGACACGCCGTGATATAACTGGAATACTGTTAAAAGCAGCGTTAAATCCAACACACTCACTCACTCAATATCTCTGTGTATGGTTTTAATTAGCCCCCCTTCGTAAATCTTCTTTGCGCCTAGGGTGCTTATATCGGTGAATACGGTATATTGTGTATATTGTGAATGCTGTTTATGTTGTGAATGCTGTTAAGCACCGTTTGGAAGGAAACTAGTTGCTACATAAATATATTATGCTTCATGTGCTTCGTGTTACCTGATATACTTGCATAGAATATGGGTGTTTTATTTGTTTCAATTCTCTTATTGACGAAAAAGTCTGATCTGAGCTGTAGCTCATCGAGCCTGTTCCACAAAACAATTGTTTTTTGTTGGGGTTTTTGTTTTACACCACACTTGCAATTGGGGTCGATGACATGCATCAACCACATCAGCAAGCCTGACCACCTGATCCGGTTAGTCGCCTTTTATGACAAGCATAGTCGCCTTTAACAGCAATTGTAGCACTAAGATGGTTGTAACACTAACATAGGCTTTAACAGGTCCCTGGATCCATGTTTTTGAAAATGCTGTATTGCTTTGTGAACTCGACATTTGAGTAATCTCTAAATGTAAAACTGGTCATTTCGCCTTGATTGGCATTCAAATATACAGCATATTTTTTTCTATTTGATATTAAAAAAACTCAAAATTATTTCTCACCACACAAGGAATTTTATAAAAGCAATGTTAGTATTTTTCAGAAATTTGGGAAATATGTTAAATAACGAAAACTGAAATTTAGCTTGAATATATTTGTTGTATTTATCAATGTTTATGAAGAAATAAGAGTAAATCTGTAAGAAATTAGAATCTTGAAAGTTCGAATGCCAGAGGCATTTTGATAATTATTCGGGAAAAAATTACGAAATTTCTATAAAGCAAGACTTCATGAATTATGCATTGGCAAAGAGTTACTTTCGTGATTATATTTCCTCCTTTCTTCTGGCATGTGCAGCTAATTTACTGGCATTGGAAAAAAAGGTTGCCTATCTATACTGAATATATTTTGTCCTGACAACCTTTTTTGTCTTTGAAAAATTCAAAATTTGTATAAGATGAAAATCTTTTGTAAAGAATTAATGTTGTAATCATTTGGTTTTCATATTCATATTGAAATCGGCTCATAAAGTAATAGTGGGGTATTTTTTTATATGTAATTTATTTAAAAAGTATGAATATTTATACAGGAACTGATTCACATTGACCTTTGCTTACATTTCTCTAAAACTCTCTCAAAATGCATTTCTTGGCACTGCAGAGAAACACTGGCTACAGTGAGGCTGAAATTCCATAGACCTGCTCCCATCAATGATATACTATGTATATTTATGTATTTATTTGAATTCCCCTTTTGGGTATGAAAACACAAAAAAGACACACCAATGTTAACAACCAAACTTGTTCTAAAGGTTTGGATCCTATTTTTCATTACTGATACTATGACAGCTTAACTGAAAAACACATTATTGCCATTTGTTCAAAATGTGATAATTTTCAATGTGAAGTTTACCCAATATACTGCTTTTCCATTGACTACAGAGCTTACATTCTTAAGATTATGAATGACAATTTTGATGTTTTTCTGTTTTTCTCGAGACTATTTCCCTGAAATGATGTAAAAGTTGACAGACTTGCACGAATGAATACAGAAGCAATGTTTCTGGTTATTTAGACACTTTAATCTTGAACTCCCCGTTTCTTCATACGTTGTAAACAGTCTGTGTTTGTATGTATGAATAGCCCATTTCATTTCTGGTGTCCCCCGCCGTGATATTGCTGGAATATTGCTTAAAGCGGCATAAAACCATACTCACTCACTCACTCATTATCCTCTCATCCTGCCGGGTACCCATTCACAGCTGAATGAACAGAGGTATACTTCGAACAAGGGCACATGCCTGAAGAGAAACCAAATGCAACTATGGCCTTACGGAATCTCAAGAGTCAAGCTTGCTGGTCATGGTAACCCATCCACCTACTCTCCGCCACCACTGCTTAACTTCGCCTGATTGTGACCTGTGCTGAGCACCATATGCTCGTGTACCCATGAAGATCCAGGGCAGATTAGGTCTTCAGCAACCCATGCTTGTTGGAAGAAGCAACTATGTTGTCGTAAGAGGCGAGGAATGGGATCGGATGGTCAAGCTCCCTGATTGGTTGATGCATGTCATCATATCCCAGTTGCATAGATCGATGCTCATGATGTCGATCACTGGACTGTCTGATCCAGATTTTGTTTCAGACCACTGTTATATGGCTGGAATATTGATGAGTGCAGCGTTTGGTAACAAATAAACAAACAAACACAGCTTGATATCAGTATACTGTGTCTGAGTGGGGTATCCATGTTAAACTGCGGCATGGTATCTCAGTGGGCTGGTATGATAGTATGAACCGACATAAATCAGGACCAGTACAAACAGCATTATAAGTGGATTAATCTTGGAGGGTGATGTAAAGCCCCATTTCACATCGCCTCATGATGGTGACCTTTTCCTGTTTTTGGTAGTGAAGAAAGTCCCAGTCGTCCAAGACGCTGCAATTTGCAGTGCAGAGTTGCATCCCTTGGGGTGTCAAAATAATCTTCATCGCGACTTTAAACCCCATTTCACTTCAGCTCAGCTCACCTCAAGCAGAACATGGTACAATGACAGGTATTTCTGGCTTGAATTTGACTGTGCATCTTTAAGAAATCAATATAAAAAACATCTGTGAATCATTTCCTTCTTGCAAGAAAGACGCATTATAACAACCATTATGTAAATTGAGTATTGAAATTGTAAAAGACTCCAGCTTTGTTTTTATGTCCTTCTGCTGCAGTGGACATATTTCACACTTGAAAAGAATATCATGGCCGACAAGCATAGAAACGTGGAGAATAAACCTGGGCCAGGCAATTAAGAAAACAAGATGGGATGGATTTGTGGAAATTGAAACACAAATTGGAGGCAGCTGCTTGTCCTTACTCTCTAGTGCGTATAATCCCACTAAATCACTTTTTCCATCCTCAAAATGAGAAAGAGCCTGAAAACGTTGATCCCAAATTTGTCACGACGTTCAATATGGATTTTCAGAACTTTCCATCACCAGTGACGACTTATCATTGCTGCCACTGACATATGGAAATATTTGGCAAGAGAGGGTCTGTTTGTTCAATAATACTTGCCGATCTGTGAAGAGATGATTGTGGTAATTTTTTCCGCCAAGCCAGACAATGAAAGTCACAATTAAGTTTTCGATTTAAGCACAGCATGATGTATGCAAAGCTAGTGGTTGAGGTCTGATTGCAAAGCCAGCTTGCAGTCTTGATTGTGTAAATATTAGTTTTAGAGATACAGTATAATATAGGGGATTGGGCAGAAAAAGAGGTTCCATCCAAGGGAGGCAATCCAGGGATTAATCTTGAAAGTAATCAGCTTACACAAGTGTGATCTGACAGAAACATTCCTTCAATCATGTGATGAGATGGTACTTGCTGGAACAGAGGGAAACATGGGTGTGTTTAGCTCCTTCATATGGGATTGAATGCTTGTGGAAGATTACCTGTTTCTGCTTGTTGTAGTTGAGATTGCTGCTCTGTTGTAAACATGTAAACACAAGGAGGATTGGAGTGGGACTCGCTCCTCCAGCACCAGATTGACGGCCTTCAGTGACCTGGTGTGGGTAATGACTTCTGAGGGGATTATTGCCTCCACATGGCAAGAGGAAGGCAACTTGTGAGGCTGCTTCCTCCTTTGGAGGACTGATGTATATTGTAGAATGTGTTTGTCCATGGAGGAGATTTGCTGGGTGTGCTTGACAGCTGGGCTGAGAATTAGACTGATTAAAGCTGACTCAGACATAATTTGTGGGAACTGATCGGAAGAGGTATAAAGATGTTTCCTAAATTGCAGATGAAAATCTGATAGCGATTCAATGCAAGGACAGCACCAATTATCTTACCTCCATGTCAGAATGATGAGGTCTGATTGCTCCACGTGATCTTGATGAAATACTATGTATCCCACCTCAAATTTCTCAGCGGGAGAATAAATCCCTTATACCCTGCCACAAGCAAGACAGGATGCACATGGATTTCTGAGAGGCAGAATAAATCCCATATACCCAGCATCGAGGCAAAAAAACACAGGCTTATTTTTCTGAGTCAATGAAAGTCACGTGACATAGCAAAC